CTAAAGCTTATAAAGATAGTAAGTACGATATGCGCACATGGGCGTCTGTCTTTGGGGCAGGGAATTTCAGTATTTCATAGTTTTTCGCTAACCAAAATATAAAAAAAAACGCTACAAAAAAAGCAGCAAAAAAAAATATGATAAAAAAATTTAGGAAAAAATAGTATGAGTACGTTTTAGAAAAATCGTGACTCGTAGAAGAACGCTGGTTACGTACGTTCTATGGCTCTTTTATATGTGCGATATGCGCTACGCTTTCAGTATCCGTAATAGTTAAGGCTTTAGATGCTTTTTTTTTTAATTTTTCATTTAATTTTTGCTCTTCAGCTTTTATTAAATAGATTTTTACAGTGGTTTTATTTTAAGAGTTCACAGTTGTGAAGACACGCTGTGCCCGTTGATATATGGCAGAAAACAAAAGGCAGCAAATACTCGTACAAGGCTTAGAAAATTTCTATATAAAAATATTTTGATGATGATTTTACAGCTTAAAAGGAATTTTATGAGTGTTGAGCTATGTTTGAAATATTGTGAGAATTTTTCGAAATTTTTGCAAAAAAAAAAATAAAATAAATAAATAATACAAAAAAATAGCAAAAGCAAAAATGCTGTAAATGTTGCATAAATTTTATGTTTCAGTAATTGTGAGTAGTTTATTTCTAATTAAGCATAAAATTTAATAGGGTTTTTAGTTATTTAGGTTTAATGGACATGTCGGCATGGATTTCCGAAAATGTTTGCTCAGAGCTATAAAGCTTTCAGAGCAGTGCACTCAAAAAAAATAGGTTTGACTTAATGAAGTTACAACATCATTTTGTTAGAATCACTATAACGGTGTAATACTATAAAATATAAAATTTTCATATTTTTATAGAAGAGACAGTAAAAGCTAAAGTTCAGCAAAGTATAATCAGATTTATGTATTGTACCTGCCACATTCTGATTAAGAATGCATCGGAGTTTAATAAAATTATCATAAAAATTTTAGTGTATTAATAATTACAAAAACTTTTTGAAAATGAAATTATGAATTATATAATTTTTATACAAAGTTTTTATTAACTTTATAAATATAATAAACTATATATATAATATAGAGCCCACATTTCTTTTTAAAATAGTAGTTACCAGATTATTAAAGTGATCACCAAAGTGATATGCTAAAGTTAAAGACATGCTTAAAGCAATTAAGTTAGTAAAGTATAGAACAACATTATATCGTGATAGCAATATTATCTGGGATAACTAGGCTGCTATTAAATCACTCATATCTACAGAGACAAGATCAATAAATAACTCTGTTATATCAATGGTGGATAAAACTTTTAACAAATCGAATATATGACACTCAAGAACAAAAATTCTCATAACCATAATAATTCCTATAAAGCGATGATTGTTTGAGAATTTTAACTTTAAGAAATAGAGAAAGAACCTACTTAACAAAATTTGTTACGATTTTATTGAAACCAAATAGCTTATCAGCAGTTAAGGAACTGAGTTAAATCTCACGACGGGTCTCAGGCTTATGTGAGTCATAATTTTTTCTATATTCATGATGGCTATAACAATAATAGCAGTGCACAAATATGAGTCTACTTTTATTTTTAACCACTGATAACAGTTTCTATTGAAGTTTGAATCGCTAATAACACATTTCTAATTAGTTTTTACTTAGCATGTAATGCTCTCATAAGTCAGTGATTTAAAAATGGATTTAAAAATTAGTCATGGTTATAAGATCATTAGTTTAAGCGTGAGATTAGAGACTGTCGTCAGTTATTCAGATTAAAACTCTTAATGGCTAGTGTATAATAATAATTAGTCTGTTGTTGGTATAGATATCATATCATAACATTATTCCTCTATCATATTTTTTCTTTTTTTGGTTTTTACGTCTATTTTGAAACTTTCCGGTTTTACCATTTTCAAAATTAACTAAATATACACCTTACTATATTCTCAAGTCTTTTAGCTATATATAAATATATTAAATTCCACTAAACCATTTTAATGCCTCCTTCTCTTACGTTATTACTCCCATATCTACAAAACAAGACTTTTAAATTATATAGTCAAAAACTAGATATCTTTTCCTTAACTTTTTAAAATAAAAATCATTCTAAATAGCTTGTAGGGTACTTAAATTAATCGTTAAATGAGTTCTTCCACATAACTAACAGTGCCATTGGTGTTGTTGGCTATCACATGATACACATGTACAGATACCTTGTGACATAAAATTAAACACAGGTTTAAGCCATTGTGTTGGCATTTGATGTGCTTAACTGCTAAGTACTTGCGGCATTACAACTCCAGAGTTAGCATCAAAATCGTGTGTTCTGGCGCTGAAATGTGTCATGGAATTTAGGCAAAGTATGTACAACAGTGCATGTTTAGTATAAAAGTGTTTAGTTTCAAATACATTTCAAATCACTTAGATAAAAACAGTTCTAGTGCAAGATTTAAGGTTAGAATTTGTTAGTGTACTTTACCAATTTAGTTAAGTTTTATGAGAGGCGTTTAGTTCAAAAATGTGTAACATGACTATCGACATGCAAAGAACAGATTTATATTAGACACGAAATAAAGTAAAATATATAAATAATATGCAAGAATTATACTATATATAGTATTAGTATAATTTAATAATTTTAGCTTTTATATTTTGTAAGAGTATGTGGCGTCAGTCAACTGGCTTTTGAACCGCAGAATAAGGTCAAGCAAACTCGTACCAATGCGCAAGAGTTCAGCTAAACGATTTTGTGTTTGCTGCGAGAGCGTTTACCTGCATTTCAGCGCTGCACTGCATGACTGACACAAACAGACAAGACAAGATACCGACTGTTTATAGTGATATTATTTAATTTAATTTTTTTTTTTCATTTATAAAAATAATTTAAAATCTTTTTTATATTATTAAGATTTTTTTGTATCATATTCCTTGAATTACGTATGTGCTATTGCTTGAATTAATACCAACCACCGGCTCAGTTCTATGGAACGTGTTGCTCCAATTAGTGCAACTAACTCATTTCTACAAAAAAACAAGTATTAATTTCAGCTACTGTTTTTGTCAACTCTGCTCAACTAAAGTCATAAAACTGTCACAAAAAAAGAAAAAAACATATTTAAATATGAGATACATTTAAAAACATATTCACTCGGTTGCTTATCTGAAAATACAAGCAAAAACAGCAAAAGATGCAGGCTGATTTGTGTACAAGGCGGAAAGGATATCTTAACATCGATTTGCCTGTCTTTAGTCGAATTTCTTTATAATTTGTTTGTACAAGCAGCCACGCTTGCTGGAAGATCTTCAGCAGCTGATAAAATCGCATAAAGGGTTTTCAACTTAAATAAGACAATCTTTTTTTCTCAGAGTGCATTTGTGCATTTATAAGTCTCGTAAATATAAAAGAAGGCAGGCGGTATGAGCTTGTACTCCGTATCAATTTTTTTTTATGTTTAAATTTAATTTATTTATTAATGTTTATGCTTCTTTGTTTGAATTCGGTGCCTAAGTGTTGAAAGTTATAAAACTTAATTATAAAGAAATCCAAACAAAACAATATAAAAATTATGCAATTTTATTTGTATTTTTAGAGATTATTGGGTATAACACTGAAAACATGGTTTACACTTTTATACATCCCAGAATCGATTCCACACACACTAGACATTTACACATAAGTAATGACTGCAGTGAAATAAATACTACGGATAAATATTGTAACACTTTTATTAAAGTTTGTATTAAACTTGATTAAAGGTCTCTCTATTGGAATGGAAGATAAGAAATTGTTTGTACACATATCAAATACTCTTTCATAGATCTCTTATGTTTACTTTCGTATATTACAAATTTTTCAATACATTATGCATTTTTCATAATTTGCGATAGTCAAAGATTCTTTTTCTATATGAATCACAATATGTTAATTTAAAAATAATATTAATATTGAAGTAATACAAAATTGTATATTAAAATAAAACAAAATTGATAATGTAAAATATAGTATATATAAAATTGAAACTCTAAACAGAATGAGAATTACAATTTTCACTAATATATATTATATTTTAGAATATATTAGTTAAAATATAATTCTCATTCTATTTAAAGTTTAAATTTTATATATAAATATTTTACATTCCATATCCAGTGTTTTATTTTAATGTAAAGATTTCAAATGCCTTCAAATAGTAAATTGTCGGAACATTTTTGACGAATATAATAATTTCGTTGTCTGTATAATAAACGTTGTTAAATGTTAGCCAAAATTATATGCGGGTCTATATTTTAAATGAGGAAGGACTAGCACATTAGTTGGTCCAATTCTAGGGATTTAGATCACTTCTCCACCAAACAATCTAAACTTGTCACGAAAAGCGTGGTACATTAAATTGCGCCCCACTAAATGGAGGGAACTGTTATATATACAAATGAAGGTAGCGGAACAATCAGATCTCTCGTTATTTAGTTAATTTATACATGCATTTTATATACATGTATTTATTTCAAATTCTAGGAGCAATACATTCAATTTTTTACTTTTATTAAAATATTTGTTATTAAATTCTAAATACATAAAATAAAATTAAAATTTTTAAAGATATAGACATGTTCGATTGGCATGTCTATATGCTGCTCCATCAGAGGCGGCCATAAAAATGCTGTGGTTTGATAGTTTATCAGACACAACATACAAATAAGATTGAATATAAGTTGAATTTTTTTTTTGCTGGAAATTAGACGGATAATAATAGGTATTTTGTAAAAATTTCACAGTTCTAAAATTTATGTGTCTTGGTTCCTGTTAACTGTATGATAGTTATAAACTTTACAAGAAAGTCGATTTAAGAACATAATTTTTTCTTATATCAAGTAGAAAAATATCATAGTCTTGCCTTATTTTCAAACTACTCCGTTTTCTCTTCTTCTTTTTCTATATGTTTTCATTATAATTAATATATTTTCTTTTGTAATTTTTAGGCTGCAAATCATTTTTCAAACGCTCAGTACGTCGAAATTTAAGTTACTCATGTCGAGGGAGCAGAAATTGCCCCATTGACCAACATCATCGAAACCAATGTCAATATTGCCGTTTAAGAAAGTGCCTCAAAATGGGTATGCGACGAGAAGGTAAGTTCATAAATTAAATTACATATTGTTTATCTATTTAAAATGTTTATAATTATTTAAAATTTATTTTATATAAATAAAAATCTTGTGAAAATCGTTTAAGGGTCAATTAAAAGTCAAATTTAATGCCAAATGTTTAGGAATTGTAAACAATAAACGCTTAATGTAGAACAAAATAGTATTTTTGGCATAATACTCGTGCAACGAAAACATAGAATTCTTACTTAATAGTAGCTACAAAGTAAAACGGAAATCATTGCAAATGTCAAGACGCCAAGAATTTGTCAAACAATTGAGTTCACTAGACAATGCACAATAGTGTAAATAGGTGGGTTGAGTGCAAGATAAATGCAGCTACTTACGAATTCTTTCATTGACTAAGGTGACAACTGGTATTGACAGTGTTGATTGTTCACTTTTATCTTTGCTACTTTTATAGCTTGGCACTTGCAACTCATCAAAAGCAAAAGTTGCCAAAAGAATTGTATTTTAGATGAAAATGTAATTTGTCCTAAATTTGACAGAAATTGTCAATTTATATATTTATGGGTTAAAAGGATTTTGTGTATATAAAACAAAGTATTTATAATTGATGTTACAAGATTTCTTATGGCTTTTATGTTTAAAATACATTCAAAACCATTCAATTTTTACTCTTACCGAGTATGATTACTAATTTATAGTTTTTTAGCGAATTATATAAAACATCTAATTTGAATATATCTTTTATGAAATGATTGTGTACAGAAATTAAAATTTAGTACCACATGTACAACATATTGCCATGGATATATTAAATGAAAACTATTAAATCGAGAATTAAAAGAAAAAAATTAATGACAGCGCAAATATAACGAAATTCTTTCTTGCTTAGTAATTTGACGTAGTCTTGAAGATCCAATATTAGATAAAGCTTTCGGATTGACAAACTTCCAACTTAAATACGTTTGTTGAACACTTAGAAAAATACCTCCCACTATTTTAAAAAATATTAAATAATATAAAATCTATAACCCAAGGAGCTAAGCACAATAAAAACTAAATAATTTAAACACAAAATTAAAAAACTGACTCTATAGTTGAGAGTTAAGTTTTTACGTCGATGTAAGCTATTGTAGTTAAGAATATAACTCTGGTAAACTACAGAAACTCATAAAAGTTTAAATATTCTTTAATGAAAAAAAAATTAATTTTTTTAAATTAATAGTGAACACCAATTTTGCATATTTAAATCAATTATTTATTGCAATTTTTTAAATGAAATAATTTATATTTAGTGAAACTGCCATTGCACTCATTAAAACAATTATTGACTATGATTCTTATGATCATATAGCCAACTACCATATTATCAAGTTAAATAACTAAAAATTGTTTGAATGATCATACTGAAATATACACGGATACACATACATAAATAGATACACAATTTGGAATACATACAAAATATTTATTAGAATGTCGGTAGCCTTAAAAAATTTTTTTAAGTGTAACTCAAATAGTATGTATTAAAGAATTTCAACAGAAATGACTTAATATAGTCAATAAAAATATTAATAGTGGTGCTAAGTATGCATGTAATTAAGTACAAAAACAAAAAATTGTACACAACAATACACAGAGAAAAAAAGCCAAGAAAAAAAAACGTATCTATAAACGCAATCAACTCAGTCAATTTGCAATTGAAAAATACTAAATATATAAAAACGACTCTATATTATCGTATATAAGTATCTTAAAAAATATTGAAAAAAAAACAGACAAAAAAAAGCTTATAAGAAAACAACAAATATCAATTAAACATGAGTAGACCTCTTTGACCCCAACACCAAATGCAAACTTGTTCTTAAACAATTAAAATTTAGCTCAATATTATAATTACAACGTCAACACTTTTTTAGGTTCCATAGCACTTTTTTAGTTTTTCTAAATTTTTAATTTAACAATGCATAAAATGTACACTGGAAAAAATTTTCTCATTTGCATATGCAATTAACGTATTCGAAAAAAGCTATTAAAAATTTGTATATTAAATGGAAACCAAGCTTTCTTTTCATAGTAATAGATGGGATGTCAAGGTTTATTATAATATAGTCAAATTATTGTAAATTTCTAATTTACAATTTCTAATTTAATTATGAAAGATTTTATGTGGAATTTTTATAGGTCACTTTTTATACGTGAGTAACCATAACTCAACATTTTTTTGCAATTTGGCCAATCTAATTATTTTTCAGCAATATATTATAGATGAAAACTTTTCTTATAAGTTGATATGAACTCTTTTTATTAATTCATATTTTTACCATTAAAAATGTTTATTTAGATGCTTTCTTAAGAATTTTTGAGAAATTCTTGAGACAGCTTTGTTCCAGGTAGTGATAAAGTCACGATCTCGCTGGTATAGCTATATAAAGAGATTACCAATAGATTATGTAATGAGACATGCGTTGCAGGTGATAGCGATAAAGTTCAAGTAGTCTACCAGAAATTTATAGAAACAGCGTTAAAAACAATGTGTTGTAATAGCATAAGCAATAGGACATTCTAGAACTGTAAAAGTTGTAGATATCGTGTAACAATAACTAAAAAGGTCGATACTTTTCAATTATTCTAGTTTTCTTTCACCTCTCTCATTTTTCTTCTTGTTTTTTGTGTTTATGTATTTAATTCTATAGTATTCAATACATTTTTTAAAGTGTGTTTTCGCTTACAACTTCGTTTCAGCAATATCCGCTGGTAAAGTATCTCAACTGCTTATTTCGAACGGTTTTCACTTATTCATAGGTACGTAATTTTTGTATTTCGTTCGCTCAGTACAAATTAAAATGACTGACTTTGACTGTAAAGCAAAAATGCCGTAACTACTGTTGAACTGGTCAAGCATCAGGCCAATCATTTGCCAAAACAATAATTAAAAGTGATTACGAGAAGTTAAGCAGAGAGCATATGAAGTGGAGTGGTTCGAGTGAAGTTTGTCAATACTAACGATACTACCAAATGTGCTAATTTGTGTTATTTTAACACAAATACATGTCAAATTTGCGCGATATACAGCAGAGATTTTTGCAATTCTAACTATTAGTTTAAATATCTTATATCTGCGCAGCTTGAGAGTGATTTTCAGTGCCCGAATGCAAATTGCAAACGATGACGATAAATGCAAGTGACTTGAGCGCTGACTACACATGAAATGAATATATTCATTAAATGCTATTTAACAATGATTTGGGTTAAGAACGTTTGTAATTATTATTTATAAAATTACTAATTTGCAGATACAAATTTATAATAATGGTTGAGCAGCTGAAAGCTTTAGCCTTAGGAGGTTAATTGAAATCATTTGAAACTTGCGTAAAATTGTAACAATTGCAATTTAACGAGATTTTAGCGAAACAATAACTTAATTAGTAGTATTTTTTTGTGCTAGGGGTCATTTCACAAATTGTCTCATATTTCATTAAAAATTATTTTTTTAATTTAGATACATTTCATGTTTAAAGTCAATTTACAAAGTAGTCATTTTACATTTACTCAAGTCAACAACATGCAAGATACTGTAAAGTGTAACCCAACAACTTGTTAGAGAACTTATTAGTTCTAAAGAGTTCAGCACCTTATTTTTCGGCACATTTACTTGATGTGTAATTATATTTTATTTTTTGTATCTGTAACATTTTTCTGCTACACTTTTTTGAGTACATTTGTCATGTTTCTGGTTTTTATTACAATAACTACATATAATATTTCATATATAAATTCTTGAAAATAGTTCATAAACCAGTTCTGTTTCTGCTTTACCGAAAACGTTTTTATCAGTCTTAAAATATCGTGAGAATATTTTTCTAACATTAAATTCTGCATAAAACACCCTTTTTTCTACAAAAGTTTTTCTTATTTCACATATAAATTTTTGTTTGAGAAATACTATAAAATACTATATCAAAGCGAAAACTCTGCAAAGGCCAAGACTTCCGACCCTATGAGTATGTATGGTCACTGTAAATTAAAGGTTCACCACCAAAAGATTGCAGTAGGTTAGCATAATTAAAATTCTAGTATCAATAGGCTCAACAAAATACTTGCTTAACTCGTTCTGAATACTTAAAAAATTTACTGAAAAAAGTACTAGTACTTTTTCAATGGGATTTTATAGTTTATTTACCTTAAAAAAGGAAGAGCAATTTACTGGACAAAGAACTTTTAATTTTTTGATGTTATCTACATAGAAACAATGTCAATTGAGTACCAGAAAGAAGAAATGGAACGGAAGTGCTAAATAGGAAAAAAGAAAACAACAATCGGAAAGCATATTCTGCCTGAAGGACATTGCAAAATCCGTTTGCCTTGATCTATTATTATTATTTGATGAACTTAATTTGCAAAACTTGCAGACGAAAGTATGAATAACAGCAATTTGTTCTAAAGTCTCTAAAGAAATTTGCAAAATCTTGAAACTTTACAGAAGTTTTGTTATATGAGACATATTTACTTCCCAAATTTATGAATTTTAACTGCATTTTTTCCATTAAATTTTCACGTACAGAACTTGATGGAAAGACAATGTAAATATCAAGTAGATATTAAAAGTATTTATAAGGACATATGATCATTATGATTAAATGTTTCTAACTGAATGATAATATTTAATAATGGGATGCGAAGACATGTTTTTATAATAACATCTACTTTAGGATGGAGCTAGTCTGGGATACTGAGCAGCGAAATATTTAACCGAAATCTAATTTGGAATAACTACGTTGTACTTTCATTAGTTATTTCAAAAATAGCTATTTCAAAAATAGAAAATATTGTAAAATATATATTTTTCTTGCTATTTTTAATTTTATTAAATGTATTTAATAAAAAATAACCTTCGATTACAATTTTTGTATAAGCGAATAATTTATGATCTATTGCACTTTTTTTAATATATTGATTATAAACACTGAATATTTGTACTTTAGAAGAAATAAAACGATATGTATAATAATTTTATATCTGAGTCATAGTTGACCTTAATTGTTTAAATAACTGCTTTTATATTAAATGCAGCTCTGTGTTATCTAAATATGGAGAAACACAGAAAAAAATCACACAGGTGCCACACCTTTACGCCAAAATTTTGAATTTACAGTTTTATATGCGAATTATAAATATAAAGCTGGTACACAAATATTAAAAAACTATTTTATTTTTTTTTATTTTTCTTTAACTGCCAGTGCTGGCAATGCTGTAAATGTTAGCAATGCTGGCAATGCTGTTGGTCATTCACATACAGCATACAATCGCGGTGTCTGCTCACACGCGCAAATAAGGTGCCTTTTAGCTTTATTTACATTTGAAATCTTTTATTTTTTATTTGTATTTATTTATTTATATGTTTTTATTTAATATTTCTTTTGCATGAAATGTAAAGTTCCTCATGAGTACATTTGTTTATTTATTTTTTTTTTTGGAAATATGTATTTTATTCATGCTGCCTGAGCGGTGCACACACCTGGCAATGATCATCAAGTAAATTTTGTGGCAGTGCTGCAGAAAAAGTAACGTCTTTTGTTGCAACGGTGCTATAAGCACTTTATGCGTTTATTTTGTTTACAGATATTTTTTCCTCTTTATATTGTATTACTTGAACTATTATTGTTGTTGGAGATACTTGAAATTTTCATTAAACAGTTTGGCTATCTTCAAGATTTTCAAAGCGAATATATAATAGCACATGTAATGGTCAAGCAATGTTAATAGCTCCATATATGTGCGGTTGAATGTGCACTAGATTGACCTTTCTGCTTGGCTAGGGGTTGCAATTTCCAGTTTGACCAGTGTTCGTAATGTATCTATTAGATATAAAAATAAGCTCATCTGTATAGAAATTTATATTGGTCAAAACTTTGAAAAATAGCCGCACACAATTATTTGGACAATGCATTTACGTAATTGTGTTTTGATTTTGAGTTTTGTATTCCTATACAAATGGGGTGACAAATTCAGGTAGGAAGTAAAGAAAGTATAGGAACTTGTTTAATAAAAAAAAAAACTTCTAGATGAATTTTTACACTTGGACAGTTTGTTTAGTTGCTGTCCAGCTCAGTTCGCTGGACATTACTTAATTTATGAGCATGGGAAAATTCTCAAAGTCCAGCAAAATTTATACCAAAGAAATAAATGCATTTGTAACAGTTGACTACTTTACCGATTAGCTTTGTTATGAGCGTGATGCTGTGTGGTTATGTTTCCCATTCTATACTCTTCCATTTCTGTATCTTTAGTGTTTGAGTAAAGTATTAGTTAACTCCGTTTTCTCCTCACAAAAGTAAAACGCAAACCTTTATGTAAAATAAGCAAACAACTTGCGCCAAACTGTCTGTCTTGTTGTATCTGCCTTTGCGTACCTTTTTTTTTTTCAAACACAAAATAAAACTTTTAAACAATTCAGTTTCTTTTGCTTACGGCATTTCGATCAACAAGATCAACTTCAAGATTACAGGATCAAAATCCACACACAGCAAAAACAAATATCGCAAATATATGAGCAGAAACATCAAGTATGGAAAAGAAGGCAGTACTGCAAATCCTCGCGCAAGGCAAATTCACTCATTCCGCAAAAAAAAAATTACATAAATAATAAAAAATTCATTTAAAAAGCGGCAAAAAAATGTTAAGCAGTTTTAACCCTCAAAGGCTCACAGTTTCCGATACGTAAATCGTTTTTTAATGAATGAAATTCGATTTTTGTTTTTATTTCCTCTTCTCCTCTCCTCTCCTCGCCGTACTTCGAAAAACCTTTGATTGCGTAAAAGTATCTTACAGATGAGTTCTCTTCCTCATCGTTTTACTCACTCAGCACGTGCTTAAGAATTTTAACTGCACTTAGTGTTCTCTTAAGACCTTTTGAACATTATTAGCTGATTGGTTTTTTAGCTATCTTCTTTGTTTATTTTTTTCTGTTTTTTGATTTAATAAGTACCGCATATTATTTTTTAAGATTTTTTCCTCTTTTTTGAAACGCCACTGCAGTGCGTCATTCTGTAAATCTTATGTCAAGTGTTTGACACTTTTTTGTTTTGGCATCACATCCACACTCGAACTGCTAAAAGAGCGTGCTAAAGTACCTAACTTTCATAAATGTGCATTTAATAATATAATTAGAAGGGGTTTAGGGGTATTAATGAAATGTTTAATAAATAAATATAAAATAAATCTAGAAGTGTAAAGGCATGAAAAGAATTGTAGAGAAAATTGGAAAAAGTCGCATGTCATATATACAAGGCAATATGACAAAATGTGTTTATAACATTATCATTAGATTACTTACTGCAGCCAACTTATCTTCTAGTGGCGCATAAGGCCTCAACGATTCCTCTTAATCTTACTCTTTTGCCTGTTTCTTACGTGATTTGGTTCCAGAAGAGCTGTGCCTGGTCCACGGTTTTTCGTCATGTTTTAGCTGGAACTCTAGGCCGGCGGAAACCTTGTGGATTCCAGCATAGGGCTTGCTTAGAATAGTTGTACTGAAATAATTCATACCGTTTTTTGACTGACACATTTTGTGATATATTAAAGCAAAAAATTTATCCTTTCAGGAAAAATAATCCTTTCTTTCCAGAATCAATAACAAACCCAAAAAAATTCCAAAAATTGGGCAAATATTATTAATATACAAATTAAAACTATATTTGTAAATTAGTAGTGTGAACCAAAGCATATATTTATGTACTAAATGCTTCAAAGTATTGAAACAGTTGTATTCTTGTTAATTATAATTACATAATTTGCAAAACTAAATTAATTTGCAAAAACCATATCATACTAATAACTTATATTTTTGTATTCTGAACCGTGTGGACTTTATTTTCCATTACATCAAATAACTGGACTGGCAACTTAAACAGTTTTAAATTTATGTTAATGTCAGATCAGGGAAGGTATTAAACATTTCTGAGGTCTTTTTATTATAAAATAAAAAATAAACAAATAAAAAAAATTGCAAAAAAAATCCAATAAAAAATGCAAAGCCACAGAAATGTTTATTTATATTTTGCCAATGAAATTAATTTTGCTGTTATTGTTGGCTTTGTCATTTCACACAATAAAAATCTTGAATATTGAAAAGCCTCATTTGTACTGTTTTATTTTAATTTGCAATTTTTTTTTCGTAAACAGCAAAAAACAACAGAACTGAAGTATCTGAATACTCATATAAATACCAGTGACAGTAGTTGTATCTGAATTGTAAGCGTATCAGTGTTAAACAGTATTTTTGTTACTTTAATTAAAAGTAAATTTCCTTGACGTCATTGTAAATTTTTGTAAAATATTCTCTATATAAACTGAAGCAAGTACAGTGAAGCAATTTTATAGAAGAAAAATAATTTTTATTTATTTAATATTTTTAATTTTGAAAAGTGTTGAGTGCATTAATAAACTCTCTGCCATACCGCATATAACGCTTTGAGCAAGGGTTGCAAATTATTTTCTTACCCTTTGAGTTACTTTATTTAATGCCTCATTTCCAAAATAACTCTACTCAACATCAGATATCTATACATCTCAAGAAATCAACTGCAAACAAGTTTAGCTACTAATTTTCATAACAAAGCACGCAAAGATTGAGGTTGCTGATATGCATTGTCTTCAGCGCTGTTTTAGGGTTTTCTATTTTGTATTTTGTGTAATTGTTGCTGCCATAGACCATAGACTGCATTCAGAGAGGGTTAGTCTCCGAGTCTTATTGTATATAGTGTGATGTCGTGGTCAAAATAATTGTTTTGTCGTTATTGTTCGAATGCAAGAATTTGAAAACTAAATATTTAAATTAGATATTAAATTTCCAAAAGCTGTGGAAATCTTTGCCACTTCACCGACTGATAATTTTTGTGAATAATGATATACACAGATAATTGCACCCTTAAACGATTCTTCAATAGATTTTTTGTACCATCTTGCCATAGCAGATAAATAATTTACTTTTTTATTTTTGTTTCTTTACAGCTGTACAGCGCGGACGTGTACCACCCACACAACCAGGACTTGGCATGCATGGCCAATATCAATTAGCAAATGGTGAACACATGGGTGTGGCCTTCAATGGGCATAACTACTTAAATTCCTATATATCATTACTGTTACGTGCTGAACCATATCCCACATCGCGCTATGGTCAGTGTATGCAACCGAACAACATAATGGGTATTGACAACATTTGTGAACTGGCAGCACGTTTACTATTTTCCGCTGTCGAATGGGCCAAAAATATTCCTTTCTTTCCTGAACTTCAAGTCACCGATCAAGTGGCGCTGTTACGGCTTGTTTGGTCGGAGTTGTTCGTTCTAAATGCCAGTCAGTGCTCCATGCCACTGCATGTGGCGCCACTGTTAGCCGCTGCTGGTCTGCATGCCTCTCCGATGGCTGCTGATCGTGTTGTCGCCTTTATGGATCACATACGCATCTTTCAGGAGCAAGTGGAAAAACTGAAGGCGCTACATGTTGATTCAGCCGAATATTCCTGCCTAAAAGCCATTGTGCTGTTTACAACCGGTAAGTTGTTGGACATTCTGTACAGGGATGTGCCGACACTACTAACCAAAGTTTCAGCAAAATTATGCGCAAATATAAATACAAGCAGTAGTTCGGATAGTTCAGCGATAACAGTAGGTACTTCATCAACATCTGCTGATTGTAGTCTAAATGAGGATATTATGTTGCTTGTACGCAGTCACATTGAGGAACTCAATCGTTCTGAAAGTGACTCGCAACAACAGCAACAGAATTCAAACGCCGCTTTTCATTTGGCAGCATTTATGAAAACTGTTGCTGGTGTTGAATCTGTGACAAGCCAACATATAGGCCGTAACGAAATAGATAGCATCACTTCAGAGCAGTCAAGTGCTGAACATGTTTCCCAAGCACCTACTTCCAGCCACGATACCTATACTAGCGGTGAATACAAATATTCTGCACTAAAAGTGCTCACTAACTGTTCAAACAGCAGCAGTATAGTACCTTCGGCGACAAGCGCTTTTAGCACTTGTGCGCCTAGTAAAACAAGTGCTGGTGCTTCAATCGAAACAGATTTGCTTAGTTCACTTTACTCTGGTTACCGCTCACCGACATCTTTGCACAGCAGCCACGTTAATACTACCACCACTACCGCTAGTCTGACCAGCAATTCTAGTCACAATAGTAGCGGTCTTGGTGCTTCTATAACTACTCAATCGCAAATCGGTTCGTCTTCTTTACATAATCTAACCGCTTCGCAATTGAGTATAAATGATACATCGACAACAGCAGCTGATGCAGCAAATGGCATGAACGGCACATATCAATCGTCAACAACACAATCACAACAACATACACAATTGTCCACGCAATGTCAAACATCACAGCAACAGTCTCAGCAGCAGCAGCAACAACACGCTGCTGCTGCTGCCGCTGCTACTGCTGCGATGTTCTATCAGACCCCACCACGTTCTGCTTTCGGTTCGGCATTTGATATGTTCCATCACAGCACACCGTTCGGTGTGAGCCATGCCGCTGCTGCAGCAGCTGCTGCAGCACATAACAGTAGTGGCGCTTCGTTTGGTAGTCCCAGTTATAGATACTCGCCGTATAGTCTCGGCAGTAGGTGGCAATTGTAGTTTAGGCCGATATCTAATATTTAGCAATTGTAAATTAGTGTTTAACTAGTCTTAATTTGGCCGCTAAGGCAAGTAAGCAAATACGAAAACGAAGCGTTTAAGTACAAACACTCGTAAATGTCATATGTGATTAGTCGATTGATTTGTAATTAGTTTAGGCAATTGTACTTAATTTAATTTAGGTAATTAAGCTGTAATTTTGAAACTGTAAATTTTTTGTTACAATATTAGGAATTAATTTGTGTATAATTATTATTTAAGTTAGTCTTGTACCTTATCAAAAATTATGTATTGTATTATAGTGTTATTTATAGTGCCTAATAATTTATTTATTTATTTATTAAATTATTTAATAAGTCTAATTTATTATATGTATAAGCATAAAAATATCTCAAATACCTCACAATATACGCGTTCATATATAAAAACTTAAAAATTGTAGTTGTCTTCTTATTTTTGAAACTAACTTCATTGGCTTGAAAAAAACTTATTAACGGAATTTAACAATTTTTTATTATATTTCTTATTGTATGATTTGTTTTATTTATCGTTAATTATTATTAAATTTTATTTTCATTTTTTTATTCTTTTATTTTTAATTATTATGTAGTTTACACATAATAGTGTTCTTAAATATTTATTTATTTTTCTATATATTTTGTTTTTTGATTTATTAAATAAATTAATAATTTTTTATATTAATTTCAATCTTAGATAATCAATCAATAACAATCTTAATAATTTATTTCAAAAATTAATTTTTTATTTAATTCAAATTTGGTTTTTTATTAATTTTTGAATTGTATGATTTATTTTATTTGCTTTTTCTTTTATATATTAGTTTTATAATTATTATGTACTTTATGCATAATAGTTTTCTTAAATATTTATTTATTTTCCTATACATATTTTTTTTTAATTTATTAAATAAATCAATCATTTAGTGTTTATTTTAAAAACAATTTTAAATGATTATTTTTAAACTTTATTTTTTATTTAACATATATTTATAAATACATGAAAAATAATGTCTAGAATTTTACTTCTTAAGTTTCTTTAATTAAAACGAACCTTAAGAATTAATATGTTTTATATGTTTTTAATTTTTTTTTTATAATTTTCTTTTTATTTGTTAAATTTTTTATTGTTTATTAAATATTTTTTTTTTAGAATAACAATAGGTATTGGAAAAATAATTCTAATTTCTAATTTTATTTAAACTTAATTATTTTTTGTCATTTTTGATGTCCTAGCTGTATTTTGAATGGTCACACATTTTCAGTTTTACTTTCATAGTAAGTTTGTTTTCATATGCTTGGTGTCTTGGAGTTCTTTCGTATATTATTTTATATATATCTAATTTAAGTATATTTAAATTAGATTATAATTTAATCTGTCAAAAAAGTTAAAATATTTGCATTAGAGAATAAAGTTGTTTAGGTTCGGATTCATTTAAACAGTCCTTGTAAAAAACACAGCCTAATAGCGCCAAACATCGGCATCTAAGCTGACAACAATTCTTTTTTAGATATATGAAATACATGTCAGTTAGATTATATATAGTTTTGGGCATGTTTTTGCAAAGATCTGTTTATAAGTGGATAAAAAAAATTTTATTACAATATTCATGAACAAACTAAATTATTATTATAATGTAATACAACCTTCGTCTAAAAGTATTCCACTTTTTTAATCTAATAGGTTCGAAGTCCAATTAGCCTTGTTAAAATAGATTAAAATAATAAATACGCTTGTTAAGTAGTTTAAAATTAATGTAGAACAAATTTTACATAAAGATATATAAGCTATTTAAGTTGCTTCTACGTATATCCACTTATTTACAGTATTAACCGAAATACTGATTGTCAAAAAAATACTTTTAATAACAGTTCATCACCACTCTACCAATACATAATCTATTAATTATGTTTTTATTTGATTATATTTCTTATTCTTACTTGAGATGTTTCAGTTAGTTTTATAGTTTAAAATTCTTTTGTTTTGATTTATCGGCTTATGTAGAGTATGTAACTCTTCAACTTTTTATCAGTAATTCAAAATGGTTAGTAAGCTTTTTTACTAAATTAAAAAAAAGATTATAAATATATAACATTCTAACAGTATAAACTATAGACCAGAAAGTATCTTTGGTTTTTTGAATAATAATCAGGGCATTGGTTTCATGATTCATAAAATTGAAAATACTTTCTTTTCAAGTAATTGTTGCCTCATTTTTATTTAGAGTAAATTATATGTTACAAAATAAATCTATAGCAAGTAAAATTAATTCTTGTATTTTTTGTATTTTGTATTTTGTTTTTTTATTTTTTTATTTTTTCTTTAAAAAAATTAGAAAAATTCACACTAAAAAGTAATAATTCATATTAAATTGTGCTGAAATGACTACATTGTATATATTATTGAACCATATAATCTCCATTCGATGTTTATTTTAAAGCACGAGTTTGTTTGAAAAAATTGTTCTTATATCTGTTAAATATCTAATATTGTTATTGAGTTTATAAATGTCATTAAACAAGACATTTACCAAAATAGATTAATATTTCTTGAAATTATTTGCAGTTTTAAACTTTTTGTAGTAATTTAAACTCAGCTCATTGTTCTACGATAGCATTACCAGATAAAAGAATAATGGAATAAAATTATTTATTGAGATTTGGGTACAACAAAAAGCTACAATTAGGCATAACTCAAATCATATATCAATTGTTTTCATTATATATGTCTATATGTTATTCTTAATTCTATGAAAATCATTTTTTTATACATGGTAACTATCAGAAGGTCTTATGAAAATATCAGAAAAGTATTATGAAAATAATTATTGAGTTGATTTTGAGATCTTAGGCACAACCGCTACTTTTGAGGATTGAAACTTACTGGAAAATATTAATATCTATAACATATATAATACCTGTTTCAATAACTAAGTTTAATGAAATGAATGATGTTATGCTTTTCTCTCATATTTTACTTTAAAACATCTTTTCGAATGCATTCACTTTTATAATAAAAAAAAGTCTTTAAACTTTAATTTAATTAAATGTTAATTATTCAAGATACTTATTTCAGCACAACTTAATATGAATTTTATTAAATATTTCTTAACACTTGGGTCCTATTTTAATACTTTTTCAGAACAACAGGTACCGAAAATAGCTCCTTGTAGTTTTCGGTGCTATCAACTTTAAAAACAGACAATTTCATACATTTACTAATATTTTTTTTAATTTTTCGGAAACTTTATACAAATGAAAGCATATATACTAAACATATTCACATCATCTCACTTACCTTAATCACCTGGCAAGAATTTTTTTTTCATGGAATGCAATGGATTTTTATTTGGAAGCACTGAGTAATAATCACCAACACAGCCTTTATGGTGATGGAAAAAATCTTAAGTTAATTTTTTTCTTTTTATTAAAATAAATATATATATGTATTATTATAACGTATATTTTTAAATCATAATTTCTTTTATATTACCCATATTATTATTTAAATTATATTATTTTTTAAATGATTTAAAATAAATTTTATGTTATTATATTGAAAACAAACTAGATATGTTATTATTTTACAAAATATGTAACGAAAACGATATTCTCGATATTTCACAAAGCTACTTTTCTGCTCTTTTATATTACGTTTACACAATTGCACTTAACACATTTTCATATCTACCGCGATAATTGTGTAACAATTAATTGCGAAATTGGATTGATTTATTTATAAATATTAAATAAAATTTAACAATAATACAAAATGGAGGCGAACTACACTGAAAAACAATTCCACATTGCTGTTTGTGTTTCCTTTTGTTTTGCTACTCATTAAGTACCATAAGTGTAAACACTTAAGTTTATTTTTGTAAAA